TAGGACTGAGATGAGGAGACATTTCTTCACTTAGAGAGTGGTGAGCCTGTGGAATTCTCTGCATCAGAAAGCAGTTGAGGCCAAAACATTGAATGCTTCCAAGAAGGAGTTAGATTATAGTTCTTATGGCTAAAGGAATTAAAGGTTATAGGGAGAAAGCAGGAACATGGTACTAAGTTGGGTGATCAGCTGTAATCATATTGAATGATTGGAGCAGGTGTGAATGGACTACTCCTGCACTTACTTTCTATGTTTCTTTGACTGGACAATTTCATCACACATTCTAAGATATTGAAGCAATCCATGTCCAAATGCAGCATTACGTGGACAATATCTAGGCCTGGCCCGACAAATGGCAAGTAACATATTGACTCCACATTAACAGCAGGCAATGACCATTGCCAGCAAGAGAGTCTAACCTTTGTCTCTTGCCCTTCTATCTCATGACCATTGCTGAATCCCCCACTATCAGCTTCCTGGTAGTTATGATTGTCCTGAAACTGAACTGGATTAGCCATATAAACACTATGGGTACAAGAGTAAGGCAGAGACTAGGAAGCTAGGCAGCATGTAACTCACCTCCTGACTCCCCAAAGTCTGTTCATCATTTACAAGGCACATGTCAGGAGTGTGATGGAATATTCCCCATTTACCTGGACAAGTGCGGTCCTCAAGAAAGTGGACACCATCCAGGACAAAGCAGACCACTTGATTATTTGTGAATGTGAAGCCAATCATTCAGTCCCTCCACCACTGATGATCATTATCAGCAATGTGTATTATCTACAAAATACAGTGCTAAAATTTACCAAAGTTCCTGAGACAGCACCTTTCAAAACTGTGACCACTTCCATCCAGAAGGACAAGGGTAAGACATACATAGGAACAACACCTCTTCAAAGCTCCCCTTCACACCACTCCCCGTACTGACTTGGAACACTGTTCGTTATATTGCTGTTCCTTCAGTGCTGCTGAGACAAAATCCTAGAACTCCCGTCTGAACAGCATTGTGGATCTATTTGCACCAAGAAGACCACAGCAGTTCAAGAAAGCAGTTCACCACCACCTTCTCAAAAACAACTGGGGATGGGCAATACACAGTGGCTCAGCCAGCAATACCCAGATCCCATGAATGATGAAAAACTAAGCTTGCAGTACTTAACATTCCTTATTCCTACATCCTTTAATAACACTTTAAACCTTGTTTAGGATGGATGGACGAATCATTTGTTAAATATTCCTCAATTTATATTTTTACTCTTCTAAATCTCTGCTCCCTGATATCAGTAATATTTTAAAAAAATTCTTTAGTGGAGAGATTCCACTAAAGCAATGCAACAGTGACCCAATTGTGTAAATTGCAAATTCAGATTCAAATACAATTGCTTTGTCATTTTCTATTATCAGCTTCATTTGTGCTTTCTTCATCAATGGCATCCTTAATAATAATGGTATTTCACTGGATACCATATCTGGCTAACAAAATGAATAATTCTGGCATGTTTTTGAGGCATGCCTACACTTTGTAAAGATTTTAGTGTGTTAACGTTTCCAAATGTGAAGTTGGTGGTACTCTCAAAATACCTTAATTTGTTCTGACCCTTATTATTTAGATTCTTGGTAGTGTGTTATTCAGCCTATTCCACTGTCTAATGTTGCACTATTGAAAGATTCCACTACCGACACATTCATCTCTGGCCTGCAGCTTTTTGCGACCAAAGTAATGCCCTCTTTTTGATCAAAATCTCCGTATTCTTCTTTGAACCTTTTGTTTCATGTTGAGTTTCGAATGCTCTTATGCTCTTTGGAACAATTCATGGCATAATTTTACTTTGAATTATAGGCAATACATCGATTAACTATATTCTGGGTATTTCTGGGTTCATTATCATATTTTATGTGCCATAGTTTCTTTGCTTCTCAAAATTGTCCAAAAGCATTGCAGTCCTCATTTCTCCTAGTTTAAGTTCTCCTTTCATAACTTGTAACATCATGTCCCCCATTTTCTGTTATATTACCAATATGCACCCTTTTCTCCACAAATGCTGCTCGAAAAGAATGATTTCCAACAATTTCTTGTGTTTCTCCCAGTTTTTGTAGAGATATGTGTTTATCTGCAAATTTAACTGTCATTAAGAATTGAAGTCTGCCCATATTTAATGCTTTTGCACAGTCTAATAACTTAAAGGCCAGTAAATTAGATAATTTACAAATCAAAGATACCTCTTCCCATAGTAATCCATATTCTCTAATGCACAATCTTCTTCCACCCTTGCATTGAGTTGTCTCCCTTCAAAATCATTGTCCCCTTTGCATTTCAGCTTGCTGCCTCCAAAGCTCAGAACTGACTTTTACATCTTTCCAACAAAGCAGTGGCTCCTGATAACCCCGCCCCTTGACATTTAGTGAGCAGACACCCCAGGTCTGTCTGTGGCCAATCTCCAACTAACTTGGAGGTGCAACCCTGACTGATGAGGTAGCTAATCCCAGACAGATCTCTCTGCAGCTCCATGACTGACATACCGTGAATCCTTGGACTAATTGTACCGGACCTGCAGGACTGACTGTGGCCCATTCCTGGGTAATGACACTGACCATTCCAGTGGCCAACTGGCTGCGTCCAAGCCCCTGGACTGAGCTTGGCGATGCTCTTGACCGACTGTGATGGAACACCTTGATTGACAACTGTCCACCTTGACTTGACCAATGACAACTCCCCTTAGACTTTGAGACCTTGCATGTGCTTCGCCAAATGGCTAAATGTTTGCTGCATAAGCTGCTGTTACATGCTGTGGGTGTGATATTAGCATAGTATTATGCTGTACAGCAACATCTTTGCTCCCTTGACTGATTACTGCTGACAAGCACAAAAAGCTATATGGGTTTATGTCTGTGCTAAAAGCAAGACACTACAAAAGTACTATGAGCCTGAGCATTCCGAATGAGGCAGAAAAATGCAAAAAGGCAAGGCAAGGCAGAAATGCTGTGAGAATTCAAGTAGACACAAAGTGAATACGCACTAAGAGCAAGCAAAGAGCCCTTCAGTATTTCCTACTTTAATGCATGAGATGTGTGCTTACCTCTGCATGCAAAGTGGTCTGGCAGTCCCAGCATTACAATGTGAGGTCTTGGTGCATTCCAAATGGAAAACTATTTTTAAGTGGATCGGAGATGTGACATGATGATGTGGTGAGGCTAGTGCATGTCTGATGCCACCTTCCGTAGATGGGGTTTGCAGGCAGTGCTACTCATGGAACGTACCCTGAGAAGTTGGGGACTACTGTCCAAAATATAGGCCCAAAAGAAAAAGTGGCAACCTGGAGTTGCGAGGTACCTGCTCTGACTTTCATGTCAGAAGAAATCACTGTATAGTTCCTCTGTGGCATTTGGGAGAATAGGAAATTGCACATAAGTGAGGCAAGATTAGATACGAATGAGATATAAATTCCCGGAAATAGACCTTATGGCACCGACAAGCAAGATTCTGATTTTGCTATTCAAACTTTGAACAGAAAATCAGAATGCTTTTTTGAAAAGTTGAGAATCTCATTATTCTGATCTTGTCGTATTTTCAAAAACCTAGTCATCATTGCCCACATTTTTCAGGAGCTGGGAAAATTCAATTTTTTTGCTTACTTTTACTCTTCCAAATTGGTCAAATAGTTTTGTGTACAGTTTCCAAATAATTTTGTTCACAGGTTGGCTTTAAACAAAATAATCTTCTGAATTTATTTGTGGTAACATAAACGGGTCAAGTGGGATAAACCATTGTGATGATCTGCAGATTGAGAAAGCCTTAAGACAATATAATGCTATGATACTGAATGTGGACTGTAGATACTGTTCACATTGTTTTCTTTTCCTGACATACATAATTACACAGTTGAATACCATAGTATTTCTGTGAAGAAACAGCTGGTATTTTGATATGCTGAAGGTCTAAATTCCAGGCATATTTTTTAGGGGTCACACAAGAAGCAAATAACACATATATCCCGTTCTCAATTTCACTCCACATTCTACTTATTGCGAAACATGCAACAATTACAGGGAGTGGTAGAAATACCATAACTATGCGCTGACATTTTCATTTATATCAATGCAAGAAGGAAGTTCTCTTATTATTCTTAAAATATTGAGATTCACATCCTGCTGGAAAATTTACTTCACACATTTATTTGGCAATCAAATAAAAGAGGACCACTAAGTGCCATGGCACAAAAGTACATAGTATGCACACACGCACACACAGACACACTCACAAAAGTCCTTACTAACATACCCAGTAACTGTACAGAATTCTGTACAGAATTGAGAGATTATGAAAACAAATGTGACATTTGTACTTTAAAGCAATCACGAGGCTTGTTTTTGGATTCTTTTGATGCCGAACTGTGGAGTTAAAATTAGCCAATGAGAGCACAGCTGCAGATATTGCTTTGGCAGCAAACCTCTCTGCTAGCCTGTAGTTTTTGTCAGTGCTTCAGAAGCAGAAGTGAAAACTGCGCAATGTGAAACGTTTATTTTGACTTAAAAGTCAGTTTATATAAGAAAATTGAAATGTGTTGAGAAGGTATTTATATAGTGAAGTAATTATTGTTGAAAAAAACTAGCTTAGTACAGTTACTGATAAGTAGGACGGCTCATGAAGCAATAATTGACTAGAACATTCCATGATTGCTTGCAGCAAACAAACACAGGCTGGTTATGTTGTTATGTAGGCAGGTATAACTGGGGTGTTGTTGCATTCTGTTTAATATGGATTACTTTGGGAATCGTATCGTAAGGAGCAGCGTAAGGACCTGGATTAGAATTATGGAATTAGATTTCAGGTTTACAAGAAATTGTGATTTACAAATCAAGATCAGGTTACACAAGAACTATGCTTAGATTCAACTACGAGATCATATTATCAATTCTTTCTGAGTAGATCAGCCAAAAGGCCACAGAGAGGCATCTATTCAGTATAACTACATTAATTCTAATTGTGTCTCCTGCAGGCATAGTTACCATGGATGATTCATCATATGAGGAACTAAGTGGCAAATTTACATCAGCCAGTAAAATGGAAGAAAAACAAATGAAAGCTATAAAAGAATTGGTTGAAACTGAAAAACGCTATCTGACTTTACTACACCTGTGTGCAACAGATATCCGGAACCATTTACAATTCAAACAGGTAATAATCATTTGGAGAAAACATTTGACAGACTATAGAATACTGTAAAAACTTTGGGCTTAAATTCAAAAATGGAGACAGAACTTTCTGAAGGTCACTCGTGTCAGTGTCATGTGGCAGAAACATAGCTTTTTGAGACTATGTGGAGACTGGCCTTAGGGCATGAGGTAGTTCTAGTGGGACTCAGTCAGGTTTTCTTGAGTGAATACTTAAGTTCTTCACAGCTGATTGCATATGGATGCATGAGTAAAACACCAATTTTTACTTGTGCAGAAGGACAGGAAGTTCTGTCCTTGCCCAGGATCTTCTTGGCTCCAACTTCAGGGCATCACATTTAAAAGGCAGTCAAACAGCATTTCATTGTCTGAAATCTAGCAGCACCACTCAATGTCTGATAATTGCCTCCCTCATGTCCCTGGAGATGTTAGACACGATACAAAAATCAGTGCCAAGCCTCAGTAGTGCCTCTGCATATATTCTACCGTAGAATGTTCAGGAGAGTGTGGTATCCCATTCCCTATGGATTGCAAAAAGTGGCCATCCCATTTGACAGAAGCAGCATGGGCAGAGGTGACGTTGGCAGTCAGCGCCATGGGCGGTTCAAGAAAACCTGGTTCCAGTGCTGCAGCAGGATGAATGATCTGCTGCATACTACCACAATGTGCGCCACTGTGCACTATACGCCCCCATGAATTTGAGTTAGCATTGTAATGTTGCACAACAGAAGACTGTCACATATAAGACTGAATGCCAGGGATCCCCATTTCATGTTTCATGTACAATTAATGGCTGCCACTTCATTGCATCTACCAGTGTAGCTCTGTTTAAACCATAGCAGTACTGCCTGATGTGATGTGCCAGTGTAATGTGATGTTGTGTCATATACTGATAATCCGCCACTATCATGCTGGGTTGTGTAGTGCTAAAATAGCAGCAAACTTTTATGACAGCATCTGGTATCAATCTATATATGTGGGGGGGGGGACAATAAATGTACATTTATTATTGCTTGGTAAACACCTTATTAATGCCACATTTGCCTCATTAATATTCAGCTTTCTATCTTGGCAAGCAAACTAGATGGCAAGAATTCTTAATATGGAAGTCAGAGTAAATACCAGGCAACTTTTAGCTCACTGTTTGTTCTAAAGGGCCTCTATGATGGACACAAGGCACCAACATGTCAGCGGACGGTCCATGGGCACGAGCAACATGCACCCAGTTCCATGGACATTTTCATTTGACATATGCCTCTAAGAATTGCCATGGCACATCTCTGATCCAATTACTTCTGCAGTTTACTGCTGCATTTTGAACTGTACCAGCAACTATAATTGCAATGCTGCAGTAAGGATACAGTGCACTCAGGAGCATGCACTCCCCATATGGACTGAACCAGGCTGCATCTCTTGCCTATTCACTTGTTAGAGTGTTTACTGACTCGAGCCTCCCTAGACGCTCGCAGCATTGTTGCCTTGCCTTCTTGTCCTTTTGCCCTCTCAACCAAAGTTACTATTTACTTCTGTCTCACCTTGTGGGAGAGAATGGATGCAGGGAGAGAATGGATGTGAGCTATCGGAGAAAAGATGGTGGAATTTAAACTGACGTAGTGGATAAGCTCGTTGACTTGCTTCCTGTGTTACTGTGCATTCCTGCAAATGGCTGAGACAACACTGACCTGGGTAACAGCCTCAGACCAGGCTGGCATAGTCTGGTTTCATAGTCTCCACTGCTGATCCATGGGGAAGAAGACCTCCCACCTGTTGCACCACCTTGTCCAGCAGGACCTCCAGATCCTTGCCCATAAAGAGACATGCCAATTTCCCTTTGTCTGCCATGTCCAAGGCAAATAGAAACCACACAGGGCAACTCTGGTTGACCGTGCTTGTTCCAGGTACACCACAGGCTTTTAAAGACCAGCACCAGGAATGCTGGTCAATTCCCGGATATCTGGTGAGTGGTAAGTTGTTGAGGGAATTGCTCAGGACAAATGCTGTTAGGGATGGGGTCAGTAGTTACTGAAGTGAGGTTGGTAAGATATGGCAATTAAAAATGCCAGGCCTTGAGCTGAAAAACCCTCTCAACACAACCCGACCCAGCTCACACTGAACAAAAACAAAATAAGATTCAGCCTTTTATATTGTTCTATGCAGCATCTGGAAACCAGTCTCAAGCAAGAACAAAAAAAGAAGCCCTACCCTCAGGCCAATCTCTACCAGCTCCTCAAATTATGTGGAATAGTCGTGTATCTCAGAGGATGCACTGGCCAAACCTTCCTCCCTATTCTCCGCCAGCAGAGAGTCATTCACCACAGTGGTATTTAATCTGGAGTAGGCTTGGAGGTAACAACTTGGTGAGCAGAGCATCGACTCGAGCCTGCCGTTAGAGGAGCAAGAAACAGCTAAACTGTCTGACAATCTGAAGATGGCAGGGGAACAGCCCACTGCTGAGCCCAGTACAGATGAGGAGACTCTTGAACCAGCCATTACCAAGCTGATGGAGATGCAGAGACAAGCAGAGAATTGTCTGGAAGAGGTGCCAGAGATCATACAAAGGCATGCAAGCCAGGTCCAGCAGAAGAATCAGTATCTGCCAGATATGCACAGGGGTCTTCACTCTATTGCTTGAGCCAGGGATGCATTCATTCACTGGCTCAGTGAGAGGGAGCTGCAGAGACCCTGATGTTCCTCTAGGTGCCCCATTCCCTCAATGGGTGTTGGAGGTACCATTGTGTATGAAAAAGGTGCAGGAGAAGTGGCTCACAGGCTCCCAGGGGATTGTTATCTCTGGACACTTGAGAGGTGCCCTGCTACAACGTCTCCCCTATGTTAGAGACTCAAATGCTTCCACCAGCTCAGGCTGAAGAGGTTGGACCTGTACCTGTGTAGGAGACCCCCAGCAGGCCAGAGACCTCTAGACCATGGACCACAAGGGAATGTTTGCCAAAGTCATCTGTGGCTTGCCACAAAAGCAATCAACAGCCTTCCTTAAGTTTAGCTGCTGGAGCTGAATTTGCACCCATTTGCAGTAATGGGTGCAGTAAGATTAAATAATATGGGGCAGCACGGTGGCTCAGCGGTTGGTAGTGCTGCCTCACAGCACCAGGGACCTTGGTTCAATTCCAACCTCGGGTGACTGCCTGTGTTAAGTTTATACATTCTCCATGTGTCTGCATGGGTTTCCTCCCACAGTCCAAAGATATGCAGGTTAGGTGGAATGGTCATGCTAAAATTGCCCATAGTGTTTTTCCCCAGTTCGATTCCATCCCCGGGTCACTGTCTGTGTGGAGTTTGCACGTTCTCCCCTTGTCTGCGTGGGTTTCCTCTGGATGCCCTGGTTTCCTCCCACAGTCCAAAGATGTGCAGGCTAGGTGGATTGGCCATGCTAAATTGCCCATAGTGTTCAAGGATGCGTAGGCTAGGTGGGTTATAGGGGCATGTGTCTGGGTGGTATGCTCTGATGGTCGGTGTGGACTTGTTGGGCCGAAAGGCCTGTTTCCACACTAGGGATTCTAAGGATTCTATGAACATTGGAGTCATTTTCATTTTTAGTGCGCAATCTTCAGAACAACCTGATACTAGATATAAAGCACCTTGTACGTCATTCTTGTGATTTCTTTCAATCTGTCAAAGCTTCAGACAATTTAAATTTCCGTATAGACTACCTTGGGAGGTACTGATCACTGTGTACAATTACGTGCATATCACGTGGCATTGAATACTGCTAAGGCTGTCATTCTCTGCATTCCTCTGGGAGTAAACTAACCTCTGCAAGGTGGAAACCGAAGCTACAAGTTTGGATTTAGGGAGTTACTCAGCATCGTTCAGTCCACCTTCCTCTCTGTAATAGGCAAATGCCCTTTACAAACTGAGGTTTGAGTCGTGTAAGCACAACATACCCCTCCAGTAATTCTGCCTAACTCCATACTAATAACCTGGCCAGAAAACTGAACAGTAGGTATTGGTGCAAAGGGAACAAATTAATGTATAATTAAAAGTAAACAAAGTTTCTTAATGTTTTAAAAGTATAAAGCATGCATTCTCTTGAGGCCTTTGTACCATAGTTGACTCATAGTTCTGATTGTCCATGTAACTCAATATAAGGTCTTCATCCTCAAATCTACTCACTATATGGTTCTCTCATAAGAGCATGGGAGCATCTGAAAAAGGTGTAGGAGTCGCTGTTCAGCCCCTGAAGCCTGCCTGGCCATTCAATTAAATCATAGCTGAACTGTCCTAGGCTTCAACTCATCTTTCATGCAGTTCACCTTAGACCTCAACTCCCTGACAGTTCACAAGTCTCTCTACTTCCTCTTTATATACTTTCAGTGATATTGCCTCCACAAGTCTCTGGGGTAGAGAATTCCAGACATTCACTACCCTTTGGGAGAAGAAACTCCTTTGCATCCCAATTTTACATGAGTATCCTCATAATCTGTAGTATGTCCCTTACTTGGAGATTCCCCCATTAGTAGATGCACCTTCCCAACATTACCCTGTCAAATCCTTGTGAATTTTGTAGATTTTAATAAGATCACCCCTCTTCTAAACCTGTTTAACTGTTCTTGTCTATGTCCCTGAAATCACCCTAGTGAATCCTTTTTGAACTGCCTCCAATGCCAGGACATAACAGGAACCAGACTGTACTCCAGGTGCAACCTCACCAACACCCTGTACAGTTGTAACAAGACTTTCCTATTTTTAAACTCCAACCCATTAGTAATAAAAGCCAAAATATTAGTTTTCTTCTTAGCTATTTGCTGCAACTATATGTTAACCTTTTGTGTTTCATGCACAAGGACACCCAGATTCCATTGCATTGCACTTTGCTGGAGTCCATCTCCATTTAAACAATAATTTTTGGTTCTTCCTACCTAAGTGACGTCACATTTTCCTGCATTAAACTCCATCTGCCATGTTTTTGCCCACTCACTCAATTTATCAATATTACCTTGTGGATTCCGGATGTCCTCAACACAAGCATGCCATCTCACCTATTTT